TTTATGGGAGAGATTATCTGGCCCAAATAGATGTATTCATTAACATATTCAATCAGGTTATTATTGATCAGAACAGGTTCTTCCTTGCCATTGGTCATAGCCTTGGTCTTTAATGTGTTCATGACCAATCCCACATTGCCACTTTCTCTAACCAGGTCATTTAGCATCGCCTGCAGTCCGTCACTCGATGACGAGAGGATTATCAAATCATCGGCAAATCTCAAATGTGACAGGTTTTCGGCGTTAATGGACAATCCACATTTCTCCCAGTCTAATTGACGAAAGACTTCTTCCAAAATGACTGAAGAGTTTCGGCGAAAGCGGATCGCCCTGACGTAGGCTTCTTCCTATTATAATATCTTTACCTTCCTATCTAGTATCTAGTTTTATCTTAGCCTTGCTGTTATCGTAGATATTTTTTTAGTATTCTGATGTATTTATTTTCGATACATTGGTTTTTGAGTGCCTGCCAAATTTTTTCATGCTCTATTGTATTGAAAGCTTTACTGTAATCCACAAAGCAGCAGTAAAAGGTTATGTTGTATTCATTGGCTTTTTCGAATAGTTGCTTGATGACATGAATGTGGTCTAAAGTTGAGTATCCGCTCCTGATACCCGCCTGCTCTCTTGATTGATTTTCATCCAACGTGCTAGTTATTCTATAGAGTATAACTTTTGCGAAGATTTTATATATATTCGACAATAGACTTATAGGTCTATAATTATTAATGTTATTTTTATCTCCTTTTTTGTGTAGAAGTACTATTGTTGACGTTGTCCATTGGTAAGGTATATTATCTCGCTTTGTAAAACTTCATTGAAAAGATGTTTGAGAATTGGTATCAGGTGGTTTCTATTTAGGATGAGGAACTCGTTACTTATGCCATCTAATCTTGGAGCTTTATCTGCTTTTTGAGTTCTCAAAGCTTTTTCTATTTATTCGTGTATTATATCCAGTACTTCACTTCCTCCAGTTAGGATTGTTTTCCGTGCATTGTTTTTCCTTGAATACAATTCTTCATAAAATTGAGTGGCTATTGATATGATTTCAGGGCGTCGCTTCTCGCATTTATGATTTTTATTTATTAAATTTGGTATCCAATCTCGTTTTTCCAATAGTAGTTTAGCTGTTTTTTTGGTGCCTCCGGTTCTTTGTATGCATTTTTCCAGTTGTTCTAATCTATGTTTCTGACGGTCTTTTCTCATGTGTGTTTTTATTTTATTACTTAAATAAGCTAATGTCTTTTCTTATAGCTTTTGTCTTTTCAGTGTTAGATATAAGGTCTGCTCTACTTCTTATCAGTTCTTTAGTTTTGTTTGTTACCCATTTTGTCCTGTTGTTTCTACTTTCTATTTTGCCCTTTTTAGTAGTATAGGAGAGTTCTTCGAATTTATTGTATTTACTCTGTATGTCTAAGTCCTTTGTTTTTTCTATTAATTGTTCTAGCTTTCCTTTTAGTGAATCGGTACTTTCTAGTGTTAAGCTGTTGGTTTGTTTTACTTTAAAGGGTCTATCTTTATTGAGTGTGTTTATTTGTAACTTAGCTCTTAGCATCCTGTGGTTTCTGTTGAAATTAATAGTGTTTAAAACTCTACAGTCCCGAAAGTCTTTACTTTTGTTTGTCAGTATGTAATCTATCTTATTTTTGTGGTGACCATCTGGAGATATCCATGTCCATCTGTTGTTTTCACGTTTTCTGTATAGAGTGTTTAGTACTTTTAAGTTGTTTTCATATGCCAGTTGGACAAGTTTCTGCCCATTTCTTGTTCCTTTGCCTGAACAATAGGGACCCAATATCATTTATTCTCCGTCTCCTCTTGTCGCTATTCTTGCATTAAAATCTCCCATAACTACTAAATTGTTGTGCAAGTGTTTGATTATTGCGTCTTGTAAAATGGAGTAGAACGTGTCGATTTCTGTTCTACTTGCTTGTTCAGTTGGAGAGTAGACTTGCACAATCGACCACTTTTCGTTTTTCGTAGGTAGTTTTATATTAAGTATAACAATACGCTCTGAGACGCCAAGGAACTCGTCAATAAATTGTTTTAATTCATTTTTTATTAAGAATCCTGTTCCATATAAGCCTGGTGTTTCTCCTTTATAATAAAATATAAAATGCCCATGGTCTTCTATACTCTCCCCTAGTCATCGTACTTCACTCAGACCCAGTATTGACCATTTTACATTTTCTAGAGCTAGTATTAGTTCCGTTAGGCTCTCATTGGTTCTCAAAGACAACGTATTGTATGTCGCAATGTGTATTTTATCTGCCATTTCGCGATGTTTTTTAGGAGGAATGTGTAATTAGAAATTAGTTGGAGGGTAATAGACTTCTTCCCCCACGGTGACTGGCTGGATTGGGGTGCCTTTAGAAAAAGTTTGTTTTATTGATGTTGTGTTGTCTCGGTTCCGGGTGTCGATGTCATTTACAGGTTTTTTTGTATTTCTGATATCAAACCTGAACTTCCTCTTTCCACATAGCTGAGTATGTTAGGTCTTATAGTGTCTTTTCCTACAGTTTTGGTCGCTGAGTTTATTTGTGTCTTGAAAACGGTAGTGGTAGCTTTCTTTTGATTTGAATTGTATGGCGAACCTGACTCTTCTCTTTTTCTCTTTTCTGGGTAGTTATCTTTGTTTTCTTTACTACTAATTTATTGTATCTTATGAATGCTACGTTTCCTTTTTATTCTTTCCTTCTTCAACCTGTAACTGTAGCTGCTTGTGTTTTTCTAGCATTTCTTTAGAATAATCTTCCTTAATGTATATTCCTTGCGGAAGTTTGGACTTGTTTCGCAATATCAAGTGCTTTTTCCATAACGTAGTAATAGTGACTACGACCGGGCGGTTTTTGTTGTCGACGTGTTTCCCAATTCTGTATATTTTACTGATTTCATTACTATCGAAGTGTATTCCCATGTCTATTATGACGTCCTTGATGTAATCCACAAGCTCACATTCGGTTTTTCCTATTTCTTCTATTCCAAAAAATACAAAATTATTTTTCCTTTTTTCATCTTTCAAAAACTTTACTTCCATTTCTAATTCAGATATTTTTGTTTTGAGGGTACCATTTTCTTCAATAATAAATTTCATCTTTTTGTCAAGCGCCTCCATTACATTTTTCGGAATTGAAGTTGTTATTAGAAGAGCTTGATTATTAAGTTTCTTATCTAGCCTGTAAGCCAAGCCATGCGCACTTTTGATCGTACAATACCTACCGTACGTCCGCCAAGCAGTGATCTAATTTGATCAGAATTATGTAAACATGTGTACCTATGAAAAAACTATTTTTTCGTTTTAAACAAAACCAAAGACACTATGTAGTAGATAATAGTATCAAAGACAAAGATATGCTCTTTTATTTTAAACCATAACCTGGCAATGTTTCTTAGAAAAAAAAAAAGAAATCACTCTGAACTTTCGGCGTTCCGCGTGCCGTTTTGATGAAGGTGCTCCGTCTTTTTTTATAGAATTTTATATTTGTGTCTGGACTAAAAACGAAAGTATTATACTTTTTTATATTCCTTGTAATATAGTGAACACATATATATATAATTTGTGGTATAAAAAGTGAAAAGTAAATTGCCAAAAGTGCTTCAAAATCTGGAAGACCCATTATGGCGGCTGGGTCATAAATGTGGTATTTTTCAAATTCTCATTTATTTTTAGTGTAAAATGTAAGTAAAAATAGTTTTCTTACATATTTCAAATAACTTGACGTTGTATTTATTTCAAATTCACACAAAACTATTTTAGAAATATTGTTCTAAATGTCACACAGATAAAATATTATTATTTCATTTTTTTTTAATTTCTTTATATTTTAATATTTTGGTGTCAGTAACGAATGGAAACACATAAAACATAAAAATATACATATTTCCAAACATTTTCATATAAATTTCTCTAAAAACAAAAGTGTAGAATTCAAATTAGTAGTAATTTTGTCACTAAAATTGAAGTATATACCACTATACAGCTATATAGGGTAATTTACGTATTTTATTACAATTTCTAGCAACCAAAAATAATTTTATTCGATAGTTTATACATTCAACAAGAATTCCTGTAAGTTTTATCCATAAATATTGTCTCAAAGTGAAAATATAGCAAAATTTGCAATATAGCAAAAAACGGGAGTATAACATGTCGCGCGCTGTCAGAGCTTACAGGCTAGTATTGATATTAGCTTTTCCATATATTTTCCTCCATTTTTAGGGTAATTTTACTGTTATGGCAGCACTGTATTTTAGTTGGCAGCCCTAGATTCTATTTGGCAACACTAGGTTTCGTTAAGTAACACTGAATTCTGGTAGGCAACACTTTGTTAATTACACTTCTTGAAAGTTGTCTATGGTATGTTGTTCACTTCCCTTCAATGATTTTGCAATTTTAGGTTATGTTTCAATAATGTTTGTTGTACAGTTTTCAATTAATGTTGGTTTCCACTGTTTTTACTTCTGGATTTTGCCCGTTATTGTTTTGTTCAGCAATCTTGGCTAGAATACGGTTGATTACACTTGTTTTTGCACACAACTCGAGTATATATTCGAGGAAAACGTTGACGCACGTCCAATCAGTTCAATGATCGGAACCGGAACCCATATACCACTGAACAAAATGGCTTGTCAGAAAGGAATAATCGAACAATTGTAGAAAAAGCCAGATGCTTATTATTTAATGCAAAAATAGGAAAACAGTTCTGGACAGAGGCTACCAACACTGCTGTTTATTTACAAAATCATACTGTCCTTCCGGCATTGAATGAAAAGACTCCTTATGAAGTCTGGACTAGACGCAAACCAGACATAAGTCACTTAAGCTTGCTTCCAAATATTTTGGAAGCAAGGTCATGGTTCATGTGGCTAAAGAGAAGCACCAGAAATGGGACAGAAAGTCAGAGGAGCACATACTGGTGGGTTATCCAGATAATATTAAAGGCTACTGAATATACAACCCTAGAACTAAACGTGTGACAACAAGCAGAGATGTTGTAGTCATGGAAGATGAGAAGAATCTTGCCAGTATACCAATTATTGAAAACTCATGTTCAATGGCGGACAGAATTGTCAAGGACAGACCAAGTTCAAATGAAATATCTATGGATGAGGATACGCTGCTTGAAACATCAGATAATTCAGATGATACTTATCTTCCTAGTGAGCATGAAAATGCTTATAACTCAAAGGAGCAGCGTGTCAGACTCAGCAGAATCAGAATGAAACCAGAAAGGTTTGTCAAATATGTGTATTCCGGAGGATGTGTTTGATGATGCTAATGTATTATGTCTGGAAGAAGCGTTACAAGGAGTAGAAAAGGGATAGTGGTTACAGGCAGTGAAAGAAGAACTTAAATGTTTTGAGGACAATCATGCGTGGAGCTAGTAGATATGTCAAAAAGTAATTAAACTGTAGTGAAGTGTAAGTGGGTGTTGCGTAAAAAGATGAACAATGATAATAGTGTTCGCTATCGTCCCCGTTTAGTAGCCAAGGGCTATATGCAGAAGCAAAATGTGGACTATTCAGATATCTTTTCGCCTGTAGTAAGGCAATCAACTTTGAGATTACTGTTTGCATTATCTGTAAAACTTGGTTTACATCTTAATGTCACTACGGCATTCTTGAATGGGGACCTTGAGGTGACAATTTATATGGAAATACCAGAATGCTTATCAAATTCTCAAAATAACTGTATTAATAAAGTACTGAAACTGAATAAATCAATTTATGGTTTAAAGCAATCCTCTCTAAGGAGTCTAGTACAAGAGAGTTGATGATTTGGTTGTCTTGTTGGCAATGGTTATAAACGCTCCAAGCTAGAACCATGTTTGTATACTAAAATTAAGGATAAAGGGAGAACAATAATAACATTGTATGTCGATGATTTCTTTGTGTTTACAAATGATGATATTAAATGTAATGGTTTAAAATAGGTATTGTCTTCAAAGTTTAAATTAAAAGATTTAGGACAAGTTAAAAATTGTTAAGGCATGACTGTAAATATTGATAAAATTAGTGGCACTTTTACATTGAGCCAAGATAATTATATTAATCAGTTATTGAAAAGATTCAACATGACAAATTGTAATAGCTTACAATTTGTCATGTTGAAGCCTTTAGACTCTAAATTGAGTATTAAATTAGGGAATAAAAATTGTGATGTCAAATACCTTATAGTTTCAGTGCTGAGGGCCACAGGTTTGAATCCCGCACTTAACAAGTATTTGTATGAATTTGTACAAACATATAATACTATAATACACAATAGAATGGCTGTCAACTTTATTTTGTACAAGGATTGGCGTTGCCAAACCGGATTCGTTGTGTTGACAGACTGAGTAAATTTACACATTTTAGACTTTTGATTACTGTTCAAGACCATCATTAAAAATCGTTTAAATTTTAATACATATTTATTTGTAAAAAAGAGTGCAATTTGGCATTTTCTAAATAATTTTCATGCGATGTTTGGAAACGATTGCAACGTCAAAACACATCTCGTGTTGACATTTATACGTGTGAAATGACGTGTTAGTGACATTTTAGTGGCTACACGGGCTCCGCCCACTCCCTCATTCTATTATGTACGTATTATAATATTCTATGCCTACAAATATAGTATTCTATGTCCTTGTGAATTAATGTATTTAAACTGTCCCAATTATATAGGAGAAAATCCTGAGTGTGGGGGGGGGGGGGATAAAAAAGGCTACAGGGTAAACTCAATCAGAAGGTGGCAGTAACATCAGCGTGATAATAATTCAAAATTATTAAAAAGAACTGCAGTTACTACGGCAATGAGGCAGTTTATAGGGAGGCCTATGATCATCAGTGGACACTTAAAGTCTGTTAGGGATGGATGGAAAAGTACTCTAGTTTTATTTTTTATTTACTCTCTTAGTTGCGGATTCAGTAGCGTGTATTTAAAATAATTTATTGCAGTAGACGGTGCAATAGTGAATCGCGTAATGATTTTTTTATATTTACACAAATAATACACGGTGAATAAAACCAATTTTGCAGATTTTATTGCGTGTGTTTTACTAAGATAACCAGATAACAGTGTTTAACAGCCCTTCACATGTTCACTACTGAAAATAAGTCTCCTACAAGGAAACACAAATCACGCTCCTGAGCCACCTGCATCCATCGACTTGCTGTATGCCTTACCAGGTCTTCCATCCATCTTGTGGTGGCCGCCCTACACTTCGCCTACCGGTACATGGCTTCCACTCGAGAACTTTCTTCCCCATCTGTTGTTGGTCCCTCGAGTTTTAAGACCGGCCAATTGCCACTTCAGCTTAGTAATCTGTTGGACTTTGTCAGTTACTCTAGTTCTACTGCAGTTATTTTTTACATGTAATAAGGATGACAAACGAGCAAATCGTCCACTACATGGTAAGTGGATGCTGTGGCCCATAGACATATAAATTTATCCTTGATTTAGAATGAAAACGCAGATGCGTTGTCACCTTTGAGTACTAAAATGGAATGCCTCGTTTCCCGTAAAAAAAGTCTCCGGATTTCTACACTCACCATACGAACAAAAAATCCTTTAGCTGCTGTTTTACGCTGGTATTCTGTAAGAGCGTGGTCCTACCCCGGTTGAGCCGGCCCATTCGTACTACAAATAATATAACTGCAGCGTGACTCTACCGCGTAATAAAAGTGTATAAATAATTATGAAATTAGGAGTCAAGTTTTCAATCCTTAGATAAAATTTAAAGCGACATTAGCATAATAATAGGATGCATACCACGATCTCAAAAAGTCGTGGGTTCAAACCCACCATTAGATTATTGTTGTGAACCACTCCTGACACAAGTATTTGAAGGTTACCTGGAGATTAATAATGTTGATTGCATTTATAATATTTAATTAATTTTTAAAGGTTAAAATACAACATAAATAAAATTACAGTTGTAGGAATAAAATAGATTAATTGTTTCACATTTTATATTTTGTCGTATTATAATATATTCGATGGATATGGTCGCATGAAATCGTACTTAACAATTATATTGAAAATGTAAAAGATATATATATAAAGCACATTGTCATAAAGATGAATGATTGTTGAACTTATTTTTTTAAATGGATTAATTCCGGAAAGTTAACGATGTTATCCAAGGTGAAAATACTCGTATGACTTGGAGCTATTGTAGTCTGACCCGACCAAAAAGTTTACTTCGGTTATATGAGTATGGTGGTATAGGTATCATATGATTTCCAGTCTTGTTCCAATGAATCCTCAAGCAACCATTTTATATCGGTTACCAAAAATATATAAATAATATGTTCCTATTGGTCCAGTTGTCTCATATATAGGCACATTAGCTTATTTCATAGATAATAAATTAAACTTCCTCCTTCGGGAGAAATCTGGATTCAACCCAACTTACAGCCTTAAAAATAGTTTAAATATCATTTTCAAAATAAAAAGATATTCATATTCCTCCAAATCCATGTTGTTATCTTTAGACGTCTTTAGGTTGGTGGCGCTAGTCACATAGTAAACATTAGCTCCCATATTTTTGATAAATTTAATTAGTAAAAGAGGTAAAGTGTCAGCCAAATAACGTGTGCAAGTATTATTTCTAAAAAATATTAATAAATTGAGTGGAAAACTGATAAAAATATTCTATTATCAGTGTTTTTGGAAAACCATCCAAGAAACAACAATAATCGCAAGTATACAAATAAACTTTAGTAACGTGACCTATTTCTACCTAGTAATAAAAAATTTACTTTTTTTAATTACTAGGTAGTAGGTTTATTTTCTACCTAGTATTATAGGGGATAAGTCGCTCACGTCCGTAGGCTATGACCACCTATTCCTAGGCCCACCCTACACGTGTCCCCCGGGTGGTGCTAAATGAGCGACAAGCCGATAGCACAGACTCGGCTCCTCGCCGTGGTAGCGGCGTTAAATATACTACCCCATATTTCGCACCATGAGGAAACAAATAAAAGAAATGGCCCCGAGTTCCCGGCACCCCTTTAATGGGGCAGGGGTGCGAAGAATCTCTGGGAGGGAAACCGGCGACGAGGTTCGCCACCCGTAACGTTCTGTCTCCCGGAGGGGCGAAAAGTGGATTGCAGAGGCCCGTCTGGCTACATTGAATGTATGTGGAGCAATGAATGATAAAATGGATGAAGTATGCAATATGATGTATGATAGAGAAATAGATGTGTTATTTGTAAATGAGACGAAAAGGAAGGGGAAGGATGTCACTACACATGGCATTTATACCGCATACTGGTCTGGTGTAGACGAGATCGAGCGGGCATGCCAGGGAGTAGGTATCATCCTTTCAGAAAGAATGGGCCAATGTGTGAAAGAGTATGAATGTGTAAGCCCAAGACTGTTATGGATACGAATGAAAGTGGGCTTAAAGAAGTTGCTTGTGTTAGGGGTCTACGCCCCAGACATGTCTAAGCCCACTTATATCCGAGAGCAATTTTAGGAAATGGTAAGGACGGTGTTAATGAAATGTAAGGGAAATAAAAATATTATTATGCTAGAGATTTTAATGGAAGGGTTGGTTGATGGGGGACGCTTGGTTATGAAAGGATATTGGGAACGTTTGGTGATGAAAGTATAAATGAGAATGGTGAAAGTCTCCTCACCGTATGTATGGAATAGAATATTTTTGTGACGAACACTTGCTTTCGCCACAAGAGGATTCACATGTATACTTGGGAAAGAGGTGTTGATAGAAGCATAATAGATTTCATAATTGTCGATAAAAGATTGAGGGGTGCAGTGGTAGATACAAGGGTTTACCGCGGTTCTAACGTAGGAACGGATCATTATTTGGTTTTATGCCGAATTAATAGTCTATTCAGCCGTTGGCGCCATCGGTCATCTATGTCTACCACTGCGTTACAGCGTATTAGAACAGAAAGGTTACAAGATGAAGGTGAAAAAAACAAGTTCAAATGTAGACTGAAAGAAAATATAAGTGGTTTGGATGAATTATGTATGAAGGAGTTAGACTTGGAGAATGTATGGCAAAATGTTAGAAAGGTTTAGTGGATGGAGCTACCGAAGTATGTGGTGTTAGTAAGAGAAAGAATAAAAGGAAAAATAATACATTATGGTGGGATGATGAGATACGTATGGAAGTTGAGGCAAAGAAGAGAGCATGGCTAGATTTACTAGCAACAAAGGCTGTTAATTCTAGAGGTACGAATAATGATATTTAAAGAGAAAAGGCAGTCTTTAGATATCTAAATAAGAGAGTAAAAGAAGTAGTTGAAAAGAAAA